CTGAAAAAACTATTTTTATGGTTTTTTTTATGTATGAAAATTCGAAATAAATAGCAAACTGAAGCAAATAAACTTTTCTTTTGACTTTTATGGTTTATTAATGCAAAAGCAAGAACAAATGATAAGAAAATTGAAACAAAACGATTTTTATTTTGGTTTTCGATTTTATGAAAATTAAACAACAAAAAAACAAAAAACAGAATTAAAAAGAGATAGATTGGATTAATATAACCTTGGATAGGAGCTTTTAAGTTCTGATACCAGATGATATAAGATTGGAATCCACCAAACTTATGTTCACGAGATAATCAAGAGTTTACATGCTTTCTTGCAAAAATGGGCGCGTTGTTGAGATGGAAGGTGATGGCTTGATTAACTCTCTCTCAATTGATGGGGTGATTGACTCTCTCAATCTGTGAACGAACTAGTTATTTGAATCACACAAACAACTATCTTCGTGGCTTCTAAAGTTTAGAAGTGAATCTCACACTTGTATTCAAAAGAAAGAACAATTCTTCAAAGAAACACACTTTGAAAGAAAACGAAAATACTTTGATTAATTTTGATTGGAAGGTGCTTTGCAAATGAGACTAATGATCAGCTTATATAGGCTGAGTACAATGGTCTAAAATAATAAAAGGAAAAAGAAATTAATCTAAAATGAATGAGAAAAGATCAAGGAAGATTTATGCTTTGATTTTACTAGCCGTTGGATGGTTGAATGCATGATTTGCCTTGTATGGAAAGTAGAGGAGTCTTGTATCTTGACAGGCTTATTGGAATGATGTGCGGTAGTAGCTACAGATGCGGCAACCGTTGCATCGATGCGGTAACCTCTCAAAGTACGGCCATGCACGTGTGGTACGAACCGTACATCAAAGGACGTTAAGTACACTCAGGACCACCACGTACAACCGTCGTTATCAGCAAGTGGATGGTCTGATCAGTCCAAAACCTTATCAACAAGTGGCTGCTGTCACTATCACACCTTTTGGACCACCCCATTTCAAATAATCCAGAACGTTGGGCTTATGAAGGGCTGAGATTAACTTACACAAGATGAACGGCTACGATGTCTTGACCGTTGTGACTATTGGTGGTCTGATCTTTAGTTGTATATATATGTGAATCAGTTGTAAAGCTTTAATCAACTTGAATAGAATGAAAGTTCTCTCAATCTCTCTAATGTCCCTTTAATTCCTGCTTAATCTCTCATGATATCAGAGCCATTGGCTTAAATCTTGGTCTAATTACTCTAACTATCTTGTTCTTTCATTCTACTCTTGTTCGAAATCTCTATTCAATCACTTAAATCTCTTGTTCTGCTACTGTCCCAAATCTCTT